TGGTGAAAATACTGAGCGGACTCGGCCCAGAGTTTCGTGAGATCTCCGCAGCCATACGGGCACCCGACTCTCCAATTAGCTATGAGATACTTCTTGACAAACTCCTTGATCATGAGATATTTCTCAAACATGAGGACCTTAAGAAAACTACCACACAAGTCACAACAGCTGTTGCTCAATGCGTCACGAATTCTTCACCAACTCCACGCAACAATCGACGCCCACCAAACAATAACAACTGGCGTACCCCAAATAGGCAGTCCAATCAAAACGCTAATCCCCACTGGCGCAACTTTCCTAACCAATCTGTTCAACCCCCACGGGTTCGCTATCAACTATGTGACCGCTTTGGCCATACAACAAATGTGTGTCGCTCACATTCCCTCTCCAGTGGTTTCAATTGATAAAAAGAGATACTATTGTCTTTTTGATGATCAGTATAGCAAATACATTTGGTTATACACAATGAAAAACAAAAGTGAAGTTCAAAAAATTTTCCAAAGCATACATCAACAACAACAACAACGACCCAGTATAATCCCACAAGTGGGGTCTGGGAAGGGTAATATGTACGCAGACATTACCCCTACCCGAAGGGTAGAGAGGCTGTTTCCAGGAGACCCTCGGCTCAAAAAGCAACAGGAGCCGATATATTAGTACTATAAAAATGCATAATAAAATAACAGCAATACAAGAGATATGAAATACAGAATACGAAATACGAAAAAGATGGCTGGTATAGTAAAACTAGCATACATCCTGTGCTTGAAAAACATTTTGGTCACAAAATGCTCACCCTTTACACTGATGGAGGAGGAGAATATCAAATCCTAGAACCGTACCTCAACTCCAATGGTATACAACACCTTGTTTCTCCACCACACACACCTCAAAGGGTTGCCATGGCTGAAAGCATCGACACCTTATTGAGACAGCCAAAACGCTACTTCATCAAGCTGCTTTACCATCCAATTTTTGGACATATGCTTGCCATCATGCAACCTATCTCATAAACCGACTACCCACAAGCACACTTGGTAACAAGTCACCTTTTGAAGTTCTATTCAATGAGAAACCAGCTTATGACTCCCTTCGTACGTTTGGTTGTCTTTGCTACCCATGGCTCCGGCCATATGCCCAAAATAAATTAGCACCATATTCAAAACCTTGTGTTTATCTAGGATTCTCCATCACTCATCATTCGCATCAATGCTTTGAACCCACGAGTTCTAAAATATTTCTATCGCGGGATGTAAAATTTTTAGAAGATATTTTTCCATTTGAAAATATATTTTCTCAGTTAAAATAGAACTTCTCATCTTTACATTGGGAAACTCTTTTAGATCAGAGTAATCCTTCTATTTTCTGTCAACCACTAAATACAGTTGATCCAACTATAACTCCACTGCCCCCCACTATTCCGTTGATGCGAGATACACGCCAAGATGTATGCTCACTTCGTGCCGCACATGGAAACAATCCACAACCAGATCAATCTGCAACTCATGACCCAGGTAACATTCAAACTGCTTCTTTATCTTCTGCTTCTATTGTACAACAATCACCTGCTACTGAAAACCTACAGCCCCACTTCGTCTTCCAGAGCCAACCCCCTTCCCCCTCTACTCAACCTATCTCCTCCACTCGCCGACCATCAATTACTCACGTTTATCGGCGTCGCCCAAACTCATCACACAGTTTGTCCCGACCCACTGATCCCATTGTTCAAGTTCCACAAATATAGCCAAATTGTGTAGTAACGAGGTCTCAAAACAACATCTTCAAAAGAAGAAAGATCGTTGACTACACTGCGCAAATCTCCCAGCCAGAAACACATCCAATACCTGTAACTCACAAGCAAGCACAAAAAGATTCAAATTGGAGAGCCGCCATGAATGCTGAATTTGATGCATTGATGAAAAATCAGACTTGGGAATTAGTTCCCCCAGACCGCACCAGAAATGTTGTCCCTTGTAAGTGGTTGTTTAGAATTAAAACTAACTCTGATGGATCCATTGATAGGTACAAAGCACGTTTAGTTGCAAAAGGGTTCACCCAAAGGCTTGGGGTTGATTTTCACAAGACATTTAGTCCGGTTGTTAAACCCACCACCATTCGGACAATACTCACTCTTGCTGTACATAATAATTGGGCATTACATCAGATAGATGTCAACAATGCATTTCTTTAGGGGAAGCTTCATGAAGATGTATATATGTCATAACCTCCCGGCTACGAAAATCTGGATCATCCCGACTATGTTTGCCATCTCAAGAAGGCCATTTATGGACTTCGACAAGCTCCTAAGGCCTGGTACGATGCATGATTCATTGATTCAAATGGGGTTCCAAATGTCGCAGTGTGATAATTCTCTTTTTGTTCTGCGCAATCTGGGAGTTACTATTTATGTTCTGATATATGTGGATGACCTCATACTCACGGGCAGTAATGAAACACTCATTCAACATGTAATTACCTCTCTTTCGAAAAAGTTTTCTCTAAAGTATCTTGGTTTATTGCACTATTTCTTGGGCATTGAGGTATACAGGGATGCCGACGGTTTGTTTCTCAGTCAATCTAAGTATATACAGGAGGTGTTACATGACACTCAGATGCAAGACTGCAAAGGTGTTCAGTCAACCATGAGCACGTCCACGAAACTACTGCTTGATGACGGAGCACCCAAAACTGATGGCAAAGAGTACAGATCTGTGCTTGGTAAGCTTCAGTACCTTTCGTTTACCCGACCTGACATCACCTATTCGGTAAACAAGCTAACTCAGTTCAACACCTCTCCCTCCGTGATTCACTGGAAGGCAGTTAAATGGATCCTTCGGTATCTTAAAGAAACATCCCAGCATGATATTCGTATTTCCCCACAACCTTTAACCTCTCTGTATACATATGCTGATGCCGATTGGGCAGGTGATATCAATGATCGCCGCTCCATCTCTGGTTATATTGTTTATCTAGGCACGACGCCTATCTCCTGGTGTTCTCGTAAGCAACCTACTATCTCTCGCTCCTCCACTGAGGCAGAGTATCGTGCCGTTGCTTTTGCCTTGTCTGAAACAAACTGGATCACACACTTGCTCAAAGATCTTCATGTGACGCTCTCTGCTGCTCCTACAGTACTTTGTGATAACTTTGGGGTCACTTACATTGCTGAGAATCCAGTACATCATACAAAAATGAAGCACCTTGAGGTTGATATTCACTTTGTTAGTAACCAAGTCCGCATATCGCATATCCACTCTGCTGATCAACTTGCGGATCCACTCACCAAACCATTGTCCAAGCCGGCCTTCCAATGCATGCTTCCCAAGTTACGCGTTGTATCTTCAAGCCTAACTTGAGGGGGCGTAATAGCGCATGTACTACTGCTGTTAGGTTTGAATGGGTCTGTGTTCAGTAACTTTAGGCTACAGTTTAGTATCCACTGGATTTTAGCTTTTACATTTAATTTATTTTTTGTACGGGTTATATTTTCCTACCTTCTAGGAGTTAGCTTAGCACAATTGGTTACTTCCTTTGTATATAAACTCCACCATTGGAGGCTCATCAAATATACAGACTTTTCATTCTAGTTTTCTGCCTTCATAGGATTGCCTGTAGTCAAGCAATTCTGCATCTTAAGACTAAGAATGACTCGTGCAGTCTAGCAGTTGCTCGACAAAGAGATAGTCAACTAATTTATCCCTTTCTATCCCACACTACCCAAAGGAAGAGAAGCTGCTGATTGAACAGCTTAAATATCAGTATTTCACGCAGAGCAGGGCAGACTTTCCAAAGTTTTCTACACTGTCACCTCTTTTAAATATAGGATAATTTTTTCTTTTTGCATGTCAGCTTTCTCAAACTCAGGACTATAAATCAAGGATTATCTTCTGGAAATTATTAAAATGAAGATCAATGTCATCTCCTAAAAGAGTAGTTTTTTTCCTTTCTTCCTAATAGTGAGTACTGTATACTAGATTGAAATTTTATTAGCCAGGAAAGGAAGTGAAGATATCGCTTAACAGCTCTTCATTTACCTATGTGTTATCTTACGCACCAGATTAGTTGACTTGCATTATAAGAGTTATATATATTGGCATAAACTAGGAGAATAGATTATTTCATCAACAAAGATACACTCGATAAAACCTCAACTGTAACAAGACTAAAAGCACAGAAGGAATGACGTAAAACTTCCAATTCTAACAACAGAGAATTTCAAACACTTGCCTTTCCAACAACAAATAAAACCCAAATATCCATAGTTTCAAGTTTATGCACTGCTAGCTTGATTCATGATAACTAGCACCAAAAGATTATTTTAAAAAGCACAATGCGAGGACAAAACTCTACAAAGTGCTAAATGCAAAGACATACAATTCTGAAGATCCAATGTCGTCAAGTTAACGAGAAGCCCCTACTTTTGCAAGGTCCTCAAGTGCCTTTGAGATCTGCTCCTCCGTCAAGCCCTCCAATCTGATGCCCCTTTCAACTCCTAGGTCTATTAGAATTTTATAGAAAGAATCAATGAATAGAAGGTCAAAAAGAGGTACACATCAATTCAAGACAAGCTAACTATACTAGATTTGATGAACTTTGGCTCTAAGGAAAAGCTAAAATAGAACTTCATCAAATTGGTCCTACAAGAACTTACCAAACGAGTGCAATAGTATCACATACTTCGGAGAATCCCAAAGTGAAAAGAATGTCATATAAACTAGAACCGATTAAGTGCTATCTATGGGAAAATGAAGTGCTACATACCTAGAAAACCCAACCCCTTATGAAGTGTATTCACTATACTCAAATCACTAAATCCATAAGATTGTAACGTCATAGAATATTCTTTACAGTCACATACAATTCCTTCATACTTATTCTTTGAGTAACTCATGATTCAGATTTCTATCAATCCCTTACCTGATCAAATGTTAATAAAGCATTAACCAAATGCAATGCAACAACAACAATGAAAATGTCATCTGAACTCAATAAATAGCAGCTAAATTCAACAACTAAATGCAAAAGAAAGAATTTTTTTAAAAGAGACTAATGGAGAAGTTCAGTCTACAACCATAAGTGCCTAAAATACTAATCGTTCATCAAATAACTCAACAACTCACTTCAATTGACTGCATTGAGAGCCGATTAGAAATTTGAAGAGATATAAACAATGAAAAAAAGACTGAAAAGGAAAATTACCATATCTGGCCCAAAGCTGAGGCTCGATGGAAGAGGCCTCACGAATCAAAATAGGTAATTTGGGGTTGTGAGTCTTGAGATCTCTGTAGTTCTTCTCAATGAACGCCCTATTTAAAACATGAAACAATTAATTATTGGGATTAATTTATCTATTAATCAATTAACTACCTCTCAATCGCAAAGTAACTCAGGATATTTTTATATTACTATTCGAGCTCATTTCAATGCAGTAACCGGTAATTACTTAGATAAATGAGAAAAAAAATTGAGAAACAGGGAAAAGAAGGAAGAAACCTAGTGGCAGCACTTTGAGGGGAGGATGGAGAAAAGAGGATGCGAAGCTCCTTCAGATTCCGAGACAGATTTGCTCTCCACGCCATTTTCCCACAATCTTCACCTTCCAACTATTCCCTTTGCCTTCACACAATTTCTTCTTTCTTTTATAAATAAATATACCAAAGACGTTTTTACTGGTCAGCTTTCTATGTTTCACGGGTTGTGTTTGGCCAAATCCGACAAAATCAACTTATTTTGAGAATTGTTTTTGAAAAAAGTACTCTTGGAGAGAATGAGTTTGTGTTTGACTAATCAGTCTGAAAAACACTTTTGAGAAATAATTTGTGTTTGGCCAAACTTTTTAGAAAGTGCTTTTAAGTGTCAAATTACAAATAAGGACATGAATAAATTTACTTAATAATTAATATTATAAGTAAATAAATAATATCAAAATTTTGTTATTATATGCAATAATTAAAAAAAATTCATTTTATTGAAGTAAAATATGAAAATAAAATTAAAAAGTACTTAATTCTTTTAATATAAGTTAAATATATTAAATTCCTTCAACAAATATAAAAACATTCACCCCTAAAGACACTATATATTAAAAAGTTTCCTAAAAATAAGAAGAAATATTTATAAATTAATATCCTAAGTATTAGGTTTAAGGGTTATTTTGGTATATACTATATTTTGTTAAGGGTATTTTAGGTAAGAAGAAAAGCCAAAACTGCTTCTGTTTCTGCTTTTGGAAAGAAGCTACTTTTTTCTGCTTCTCTGAAACTGCTTCTGCTTCTTCCAAAAACACTTTTTTTCCCCAAATAAGCTTGGCCAAACACCTCAAATTAGGAAACAAAAGTGCTTTTGGGGAAAAAAGCACTTTTCTTGTCTTAAGAAGCTTGGCCAAACATGCTATTAGGCTTTTAACGGCTGTACTCAAAATTTTGATTAACGGGTTTATCCTTGTACCTATTGTGGACCGGTCTTTAGATCATTGAGAATCATTTAGTTGGGCCAAATATGGCCCTTTTCATTCGTTAACTAAATAAATGAAGAATTTTTGGTCAGTCAGGTTTGCTTTCTTCCCAATTAACCACACAAACAATAGTAAATAGTTTAGTGAATGAGGTTATTGAGAATATAACCTATCTAGAATGAATGATTATTATCTTATGATTAGAAAATTGGTAAAAACATGTAGAATACTGCCTAACATTATGATACTCATGGTGGTCTTTATGTTTTGACTCAATGTGCAGGCAAATATCATACATCTATTGATTCTTTATAGGCAAGTACGTTTTGACCTTAGACTAATGGATTTTAGAAAAATCTCACCCCCCCACCCCCCTCATTTCTAAATTTACAGTAATTTTTGAATTTTTTTTTGCTGACCCAAATTACCAAAGTTCCTAGCGTATATAATTACAACAATTCATAATTCCTTATAATCTGCTTTTGATTTGTGAAATCCACACAGCAGTGACATTACTAACATACAACTGTGTTACTTATAAGTAAAGGAACGAAAGAAAGAGAAAGGAACATAACTGTATTTTATTCATTACAACTTTAAAGTTTGTGCATATGGTGAAAAAGTAAAGTGCCAACAAGACTAGAGCCAAAGTCTATATATAATTTGGGGTTAAATTGTACAAACTCCTTAAAGTAGAACTATTGCTTAATTGGGTTCCTGAAGAGAGTTTTCAAATTTCCATCTTCTCCGAGCTAACGGTAAAGACAGAATTCCTCTCAACTTGTATTTAATAATCAAGAAGTGATCTTTCTATACAACAACAACAAACTAAATAGTTTCTCACTCTGGGGAGTGTAAGATGTACGCATCCTTCTATTTCGGTAGACCCTCGGCTAAACTGATCTTTCTATATAACGAAAAAAATTCTCTTCTCAGTCCCATTATTTCAGTCACAGCTTTTGAGAAGTAGGCATCTATTCTATCATAAATCCCACCCATTTTATGATTTTCTTGAATTAGTTACATTGGTTCGAAGCTAGAGTTTTTCCATTGGTGAATTCGATTTTCAGTAGCGTATCTTTGATCTTTCTTTTCCATTTTGAACTTTGTTGAAGTAAATTTGGTTCTGTGGCAGGTCTACGAGTTGAAGAAAAGATTGAGAAAGTTGATACAATGGAAAGGCTCTTTACTGTTGAAAACGTTCAAGTTCGAGAAGAGGATTTCATCCATTGTAATGTGTGCAAAACCCGAATAGGAACAACAGCGGATCACATTGAAAACGTACAGATTTCTCATCACTCTCTCTCTCTCTCTCTCTCTTGTATCTGTTTTGTATTTTCGTTGTTGAAGTTCTGAGTTTTCCTTGTAGTTTTTCTTTATCAATTTCATTTGTACGCACCAAATTGTTCTGTGGGTTGCATACATTTCTTGAATTGTTATTTTTGAATTGTACTCAACTACTCAATTTTTCTACTGAGTTCATAAAGAGTCAGTCGTTTAATTTCAACAGATGTTTATGTCATGAATTGTGATTAAGCATGGAATTCAGTACTCTATAGCTGCTTATTCTGTTATATTTCTTGACTAAGCACAAAACTCACTTTTTTGTCTGGTATATTTTGTGGATTCAAAATGAAACAACAGGGGTCTTAAGGAAAGTGTAAGTCTCGTGATTTTTGAAACTTGGGATTTTGTCATTTGCCTGTATATATATGCAGGTTTAATGTACAAGTACTGGACGACCACAAGTATGCTGAACAAGATAGTGGAAATACCGTTGCCGATATTTGCTGTGTCAAATGTGGAATGTTGCTTGGTTTGAAACTTGTAAGATAGTACTAAATTACCAATTTTCCATTTAATGAACAAGAGTATTTTGCACTTCTTTTTGTTTAACAGAATTTATTCATTTCTTTCTCCAGATTGCAGTCCCCCAACCGACCTTGTATGTTAGAGAAGGAAGATTCTTGATGAAATTGTATGAATATGCAAAATGCAATGTGATAATGATTTGTAAGGTATTAATACAAATAAGTATTTTTACGGCAGGAACAAGCTTGTTTATTGGGGTGATAGATGTTCCAATTTTTTTTGAAGAATACAATATTGAACATGATGATCAGGTTCCTAATAATCAAGTTGGCGACGCTAATGAACATGATCATAATCCAGCCATATGAACCATCTATTGATGAAAATGCAGAGATTGACAACCCACTAATCAAAATGTACACACTTTCACTGCATGCAGTACTCACTATAGTTCATATTCTTTCAAAACTTACTTCATTACTATATGATATATTTTTCTGGGTGTTTTGGGATTAAAGTACATATTATTACTTCAGCTTTGGTACAAAGCATTTGACGATGAATTCTTTTTACTGTATGTTTGAGCTCTTGTACTACATTTCTTTACATGAAATTCGACTTTCATGAATTTAAGCCTTTGACGATGAATTCTTTTTACCGTATGTTTGAGCTCTTGTACCACATTTCTTTACATGAAATTCAACTTTTATGATTTAAGCCTTTGACAATAATCGACTGGTTACAAGATATTGATTAAAGACGAGAGAGAATGAGACTTTAGGAGACGAATATCGAGAGCTTCTGCTTCAGCTACACATTGTTGGTAGATATTGTTTGTTCTGTCCCAAGCTTCGGGGCATCATGATTTTCCGCTTAGGCAATCCTAAAGGTGCCTCAATAGTTGAATTTTAAGCTCGCCCTTGATGACACCTCAACATTCAATGGTAGCATTTTTGAAATGTTATGGATTCGATTCATCTCCATATCTTCAAACTTTAGTATGGATGAGTAGTGTAATTTGTCTTGGTTAAGTATAAATATCTAAATTAAATTCATCTAATAAGTATCCTAAGTATAGTAAAATTAGTTGTTTTCGAAAAAGCACACAAATCATTTCTTATCAATATTGGAGATCTAAAATCTACCCGTTAACTATGGTCAGGATGCTTCTTAGGTTGATTGTTTTAATCTCAATTTTTAAAATTTAAATCTAACAAGTGTCAATCATTCCAATAGGTACTTGAGGAAATGGAGCGAATTGTAAGGGAAAAGAGTCAGGATCCAAATGAAACTGTATTTCTCATTAGCAAAGGAAAAGAAAAGAAAAGAAAAATGAAACATAATGGATTTTTTCTTTATACTAGCACAATTTTAAGTCTGTGCATAACTGCATTATATGATGAAGGGGGCAAAGTAAAATGTGAATAAGACTAGTGTCAGAAACGAAAAAGAGAATTAATATAATTTGGAGGGTAAAATGGTACAATCTTCTTGAGGAAAAAAAAGAAGAAGAAAGGTAGGAACATTTGTTCAATCGGGGTTCGTGAAGCTATTTCAAAATTCCCTCCTTTCTGAGTTAACGGCCAACGATAGAACTCCTCTCAACTTGGATTCAAGAATCAAGAACTAATTTTTCTATATCAATTCGGTCTCAATATTTGAAAATTAAGCAGGCGTCTACTCTATTAAAAAGCCCACTCATTTCTTTTACTTTCTTTTGTCCACCAGCTCTGTACGTTCCTGTTACATTCTTTATCTGGTTCGAAGCTAGTCATTTTCCATTGATAAACTCAACTTTGATTCTTTTCCATTTTTCACCAGCTGAAGAAGTTGCTTCTTGATTGACAAAGTTGATACAAGGGAAGGATCTTTCTTGTTGAATGCGATGAATTTCCAGAAGAGGATTTCGTCCTTTGTCGGATATGCAAAACCCGAATTGGATTAGTCGAGGATCACATTGATAACGTACAAATTCTTACTCGCTCTGCGTCTTTCATGAATTGCATATATCTTATATTATCTCTTTGTTCAATCGTTCTGAGTTTTTTTTGCAACTTATTATACATTTTGCAGGTGGAAGATGAGAGAAGAGCGGTCTTTAATAAAGTGTAAGTCTCATGCTTTTCATGCAGTAATTCTGAAAAATTGGGTAATAAAGATGATTTGTAATATGCAGGTTTAACGTAGAAGCGGACAAGGAGAATCGCCATAAAAAAGTAAGTGGGAAAACCGTAGCTGATACTAGGGGTGTTGCTAGGGGTGAAACTTGTAAGATATATATATATATATATCACCAAAATTTATTCCTTTTCCTGAACGTACAAGAGCATTTGCAGTTTTACCTTTATATATTGGTAATTAATTTAGTTTTAAGAGTTAATTTAGGTTTTAAATTAATTTGGAAAAGAAAAGAAAATAAGCAAGGCTGCTGATATTGGGCCTTTTGCCACAGCCCAAACGATTTTGCCCAAAAATCCGTTCAGTCCGGCCCAAACCCACACCCTTTTACCCGGTCCAAGCCATCCGGTCTTAGACACTTCAAACGACGTAGTATGGGGTCAATAATACACCGTTTGGAGTTTGTTTATGATAAGTCAATCTGGGCCCTCCGTTTCAGTTCATCCAACGGCTGTAGAAGCCTCACCAAATTCACTTATAATTGTCCAAACACCGTTCATTCTAACCTATGTACTTCTTCACTTCATCTTCTCCATCTACACCCAAACCCTAGCGCCGCCCTAAATTCCTCACCACCTCCGGTGGTGGCGCCACCTCAAAACCCCACCAAATTAACACCACAAGACCCTCATGACCTCCCCTTTCCCAATCTCTGACCAATTTCCCTCGAATCCCTCTAGAGTGTCTCGAATCTTCAATTGAAATAATCCGGCCAAAACCCTAAAAACCCCAAATCGTCAAGTTCGATGAATGATTAGGGTTAAAATTGGTTTTATTCATCTGTTCTCAACGAGAACACACGATTAATGTCAATTTCGGCTCGAAAGCAAAGGCGTTGAAGATATGTCCAAGTCCACTGTCCATCCGCCTAGTCTAGGTATTTTTCCGACCACTATTCTTTCCTTCATCTCTCGCTTTATTCTCATCATCTTCTTCTTTTTCTTTCTTGTTTTTTATGTTTCTCAAATCGTTCTGTATGTATGCTAACGTTAAGTTATTTTTTTTAGTCATCATTGTTTTAGTTTCTTTGATTTTGTTGGTCGATTTTGCTCAAATTTCTTTTTATTTTATTTTCTTTGGATTCATGGCTTCAGGAGTTTTCTATAACTCCGTTGGCCCAATTTCTTGATTGGTTTTATGTTGGTTTTGGAATTAGATTTGGGTTCTGTCAGTCAGAAGCCCAATGAGGGAAGGGTCTATCCGGGTTTGCAAGACCAGGATTTTGGATTGATTGTTGGGTCAACTTGACCCATATCTGGTTCATGAGGGTAATTAACAAGCATTTGAAGGGTAGTTTAGGGAAAGGGATAAGGGGAATCTTGTGTAACTGCCTAGGAAGCTGCTAGAAAGGTGGGGTTGGGGTTAATTTTAACAAACAGAACTAAACATCAAGGTTTAAAATGCAAGAATGAAAATTAAAGAAGAGGTAATTGGTAAAGCTTGAAACCAATTCTGCTGCCCTAGAGGTCTCTATAAAAGGCATGTTTCTTTCTTCTCAAGTCAAATTTTAGAGGATACAATATTGAAAACTGAGAAACGGCTGAGTTTTAAAAACCCTGAAAGAACACTGAAATTCCCTGCATTTCTTTGTTTGAAATTGGCTTTGATTCTGCCTTTAAACTTCATAGTTAGTCAAATTTGCTTTAAACCTTCAAAGTATTGTTGGTGTCTGGACTACATATGGTTTGAGGAAGTTTGAACTTTGTTGTGTTTGATCTACTGACTCACTCAAATCTGTTGCTAGTGCTGAAATCTCCATTTTCATTTGGTTTTCTAGATGCTCAGGCACTCCTTTTGGATCTTACTGAATGTGAAGCACGAATTGAAGCATGAAATTGAAATGTGGAGTTTAAGCATAGCATCAACTTATTTGTCTAGAATTTAGCCTTATTTTTTGCACTACATTGTTCTTTTTACTGTCTGATCCATTGTATTTTGCATGTGTTGATTGACATTATCCTTCTAAGGGTTGTATTAAGTCTCTACTTAGCATGTGAGTCTAGTATTCTTGTTAAGTATACTATAGCTGGAATTTGGGTTTTGTCATTTGGACTCTTATCATTGTATATCTGATCTTGGACTGCTGTGATATGGACATAACTTAGATGGAGAACATTTAAGTTATATGGTGATGTTAGGTTCTCTTACTATGAATTTGTTTGCTCTAATTTTGGTTTTCAAATGAATTCAAGGTTTATTATTTGTTTGTAAATGTCAAAGGTAAAAGTCTGAAGCCTTTACTGTTAGATATTCTGCCGAAAAACATCAGCTTTGGATCTTAGATTAGATTTTTTGGGTTTTATTTGGCTTTGATAAAATCAGTAAGCATTCGTTTCTTTTTAAGATCCGGAGTTGGACAGGTTTAAATCCATGCTAGTAGATGTATTCTTTCTGAAATCATGTTAGTCTTTGGCTGAAATTTGAATTCCATTATATTTTAAATGATGAGATAATTGTGTATGAGCCATTATAAAGTTAAGATTGCATCTTCATTATAGAATATAACTTGGCATAAAAAATATGCCTTGCATCTGTCTAAAATTTGCAAGAGTTTGTCAGTAGTTGTTTTAATCTCAAATTTTGTTTTCCATGAAGAATTGTAATTTTGCTCAATTGACTGTGTTGAATCACGTAACTGGGCCTTTGGCGTTGGCCCAGTTGTGTCAAATGCCCCTTTGACGCTCATTTGTGCGTACTGAGCTTCATGCGAGCCCGGTTCCCCCTTTTGTGTTTTGACATGTGAGCTTTTAAAAGGCAATCGGGCCTGCTGCTAGCTTGGGCCCTTCAAACAACCAAATGCCGATTTCTTTCAACACTAATCCTTTATTTATTAGGTTTAGTTTGAACATTAGCCTAAAAATAAATTAGAATTCCTCTAGTCTTTTAATCAATTAATTAGACTCCTTTGATTAGATCGAGGTACGTCGTATTAGCAAAACCTATAACTTATGGCTCTCGAAGATTGGATCAAGAAATCTTATAGAATAATTTGAGGCGTGCCATGCCGAATCTAACCCTCAATCCCATGGCCCCCATTTAATTAATATTAATTCTTTAAGAGTCGGGGTGTGCCATCAATTGAATTTTCCATGGCCCTCACAAACCTTGTTATTAATTTGAAATTTCGTAGTTGCTTTAGGCGCGTTATATAA